ACCCCACACACACACAAGCATGTAGTAAGAGAAAAGCCAATAGGAAGCGGCATATTACCACAACTGTCCACTACACCCATCCTCAAGTGTGAGAGTTATGGCCCCTACTTCCAACACAATAACTACTTTCTTTTTGCATCGTCTTCGTTTTTGATACGTTTTCACCGGTTTCGCCGCGTGCATGCCCCATTGTTCACCGTTTTGAGAAGGTAAAAAACTCCATTAAGAAACTAGGCATACGTCGTACCGAATATTTGCCCATTGTTGCTGAGGCAAGAAGAAAAGCGCTGAGTCGTCCCTTTTCTTCAAAGTGGGCAAGACATTGTCATGTCATAATTTTAGCAGTGATCTCACGACACGGTTCATGTGCGGTCATGTCCCCCTTCAATTTTTTTCGCTGTATGTGCAACAGCTTTCCGCCGCAGCCGCTCCAAAAGTTTCACCGCCTTATCGCATGCATGCATGCCACCCTGCGAGGACACTTTTACATCGACAACCTGCTCCTCAGCAGTCACCTTGTAGATCCTTATCTGCAGTTTCACAGATGGGTGAAGCACAGCGGCAAAAGCAAAGGGCTGAATACCTTTCCATAAGAAACCCTCTTCCTCCATGGCATTGTAAACGTGCTTCAGTGTCGTTGAACTGTCACTGTGAGAAAACAGCACGCCGTTTCGCACAAAGTCGTTTCCAAAACGTGCCACTGTGTCACACTGGAGTACACCTGGCGCCAAAGGCAACGAAAAAGCAATGTCACTCTCACACATAGAAGAACGCGTGTCATCATTGTCATTTCGTTTGTCTTTCCCCTTTTTGGTGGTGGAAACGGGTTGAAGTAGCACTCTATCAGCCGAGGTAGTCCCAGAATTATGATTATCCTTCCCTGCCATAGGTTTAAGAAGAGGCTGGAGGAGAGTTCCGCCACTAGTTCGGTTCTTGATTGGCGTTTTTGAAAGTGGCCTATCTGGTTTGATCGCCGTCATGGGGCGTTCCACCACCCCCAGCAACTTTCCCAGAATTGTGTGCTTGGAGCGGGAAGATGTCAGCAGAATACAGGTTTCCACAATATGATTGTAACCCTCCATGTATACATCTACGTCTCCTTTTAGCAGCTGCTCCGGCTGCACATAGGCAGGTAGGGAACCACAAAAAGCGATCCCACCCTCCTTGTTAACGCGTATAGTTTGCGGACCCCCCTTGTGGGTTGTCTGTTGCAAACTCCAAGACGCATTACTCATTCCCAGGGATACATGGTGTAATGAATTCGCATTGAGTGAACCGTATCCATGACTTGTGGAGAGTGTTAACATAAACGAGTTCGCTGCTTCGTACCCCACCTCGGTGTTGGATAAGTTCTCTAACAAGATAAGATCCTTCTTGTGCAGCAGGATATGGTACGATACATGTAAATCGTGGTCCTTATCACGAAGTGCGTGCTCTGCAGACGGTATAATAAGTGGTGCTGGCCACAGTTTTGCATCTACCACATTTGCAGATTTTTCAAAAAACTCCGAGGCAGGATAACGTTTGCGTACCGCTTCTTTTGCGCATATGGCTGAGTTGATACTAAATAAAGGGGACTTTTGTTTTTCTTGCACAGCGATAATAGCTGCCACCTCCGGAACTGACATGTGAAAACTTGCAGCAACCTCTGCGACGATACTCTTGTCCAATTTGCGTTCAGTTGCTAACACTGTCTTCCCAAAGGTGAGGTGATCAATGATAGTGTCGTAGTGAAGGGCAAGAAGATGAGACGGAAAAGCGGGGAGAACCCACGGGTGACGCATAACTTGCTCCATTGTAGCACGTTCCAAAGGGTTGACTACCAGCATACGCTTCAAAAGATCTGTAACTTCCTCCGAGAGTGTGCCCGGTATGGTATAATTGGCTGTCTGAATCTTTTTAAAAAGATTTCCCACATTGCAATCATCAAACGGAAGACACCCTACCACCATGGTGTAAAGAACCACACCACAGCTCCACACATCTGTCTCTGGTCCTGCGTACGGTTTCCCACTCACCACCTCTGGGGAGGCGTAGTTCGGTGTTCCACAGCTTGTCTCAAAGAAGCAGCCGTCTCGAAAAACAGACGATAGGCCAAAGTCACCAAGTTTTATTCTCGTTGAACCCTGCTCCATCATGATGTTCTCCGGTTTTAGATCACGGTGGGCCACTTGGTACCGATGACAGTACGCTACCCCAGCCACAATTTGCTGGAAAATAGAACGCGCAACGTCCTCTGTCAAACGTCCTTTGCGACAAATGTAATCAAACAGCTCTCCACCAGACACGTATTCCATGAAGAGAACGATATCATGCGTCGTTTGCACCACATCGTAAAGCCGCACAATATTTGGATGCCTAAGAACCTTCAGAACCGTGATTTCCCGCGTAATCTTTGTATTAGAACGTACGTCCTGATCCATGACCTTTCGAGGGATAATTTTTAGTGCCACCTGCGTTCCTGTAGGTTCGTGTACGGCCAACTTGACTTTGCCAAATGTACCACGACCAATCGTCTCACCGACATGGTAGGGCCCAAACCGTTGAGCCATTTCTTTAGGTATGCTTCACCGGCGAAAGAAGCAGTGAGGTGCAGCAACAAATAAAATAATTCGCTTGCCCCTGATGCGTGCTTGTCTAATATATATATATAAATAAATATATATATATATAAGGAGGCCAGGCACCGAAACAGTTACCTTTCTTTCTTCTCTCGTGCCCTGGAGGATTTCACAGACAGTGGTGGGCAGCCTGTGCAAATCCAGCGTTACCTCTGCTGGGTGCCGCCTTGCCAACTACCGCGTAAGCCGCAGCTGACGTTGCCACACACACACAGAGGGTCACGATATATATAATATATATATATATATATATTATATTATATTATGGTCTCCACAGTCGCAGTGATGTACTCGCCCTCTCACTATTTTCGTCTCTTCACACTGCCTCACCAGTCACCACCCTTTTGCCTCCCTCTTTTTATTCGCTTTCTTTTTTCGTGGTGACTTAGAAAGAGAGAGGACGGTAGGAAAAAAAAAAAGAGGAAGAAGTGAGTGAGAGGTGGCAACAAACGCAAAAGCAGGCACGACCCGAAAAGACCCCCCCCCCCCCGCGTCGCAAATTTTTTTTTAAAAAAAGCAACAAAAAAATGTGCAGATGCAGGAGTCGTCGCTTACCGATTAAACCCAACCGTGAAGAAGTAACTCCTCTGTTTAATTTTCGTTTCCTTAGTTCTTACTCTCCTCCTTCTTCTTTGCCTCACACACTTGATTACTTTATCCCCCTTCAAGTTACCTGGGCAAAATCAAAACGCAAACAACAGCACAACTAACAGAATGAAAATAATGATAATAATTTTCTTTATTAGTGGTGGTCAGGTACGCTTTTATTTGCGTTTGTTCACCATAAGTTCACACCACTTGTCTCCCTGCTTCCTCCTGTTGCTACGCCAACTCATCGACCAGGGTGTCGCGCAACTGCTGCAACAAGTTTGGCTCATCCCCACCAAGATCCCTACGAAGCTGGAAAATGCGCTCAACCACAGTAATTTCTGTGGCCGTTGTGTTCAATCCGCAGAACGCCGCCCAATCGTTCACCACAAGTCCGGAGCCAATGGCAGCATTGCCCCGATTGATTGTACCGGCCACTACAGGGACCTGCAGAAGGGACGCAATCTCATCCATATCCTGTGCCGGGGTCTTGGGGTGCACCATGCAACCCTTGTTGTTGACCACGGCGTAGCTGCCGACTAGAGCGTTTTCAGCGATGGAGGTGCGAAATGTCTGTACCTGTAGAGTGTCACGCAAAATTCCCTCCGTCTCCCTACTCAGGTCTGTGTGAATCAGAGCCACGTGGTCGTTGCATACAACACAATTGCCAAGTGCACTGAGCCGCTCCTCTACGCGCTGAACTTTCACCGAATCCGGGAGAGAGTTGCGCAGGTGCTGCAGCTCCTGGTCGGTGGTGATCGAGGGCACCACAAGTCCATGGCGATTGCCGCATGAGAGGCGTCCGACCACGCGGGATCCACCAATGGAAGTATACACCACTGGGATGTGGTTCGCCAGCTCCTGCTCAAAGACGGAGTAGAAATTCTGTGACGCACCGGCAGTTACAAGACAGTAGGCGTTCGTCAAGCGGGCAAACACGCCAACGTCGTCAGAGCTCTCAAAACGTGTACGCAGAGTCATGTTCAAATGCTTACTGTGCGCAGGGACCACAAAATTATCACCACGATATCTGTGAATGCTCTGAACGTAAAAAAAAAAAAAACAAGGATATAAAACAGAACTGCCGAGACAAACCAACAACAAGGCACCCAACCGCGGTGCATTGACAAACGTAAAATGCTCTCGCAAAACACGAAGCAAAAAGCAAAAAGAAAAAAAAGAGCGGAACACGAAAATAACTGCAACCATAACAAAATTACATCACCACACGTCACCAGATAGGTGGTCACAGACGGAAGAACGAACGAGGCCATCCCTCACTCCGCAACCCTACTCACTCATCACCGTCCGGCTCGTGAAGAGCATCAAATGACATTAGCGACACCGTCGCCTTCGTGGAAATCCTTCGGCGTCGCCCCGCGTCTAGTCGTGCCGCTTCCTGTCGAAGCGCCTTCTCAGAATGAAACAGCAATTCATACTCCTCGTAAAATGCATGACCCTTGTCCTCCAGCACCTCTGTCACCTCAGGCATAAAATGCTTCATGACCCGCTCAACGCCATCCTTGAGAGTATGGCCGGAAGAGGGGCAATTGTGGCAGGCCCCAAGCATGGCGAGTGACACAACACCTATCTTCTCATTATAATTCAACAGCTTCACATCACCGCTGTCTCGTTGCACCATAGGGCGAACCTCTTCCCGTAAGAGCTCCTTGATGCACTGGAGCACCTCTGAATCACCCTCTCGAAGCTCAAGATCGTCCTCCAAAAGCGTGTACTCTTTTGCGGCGGGCACACACTCGTTAACAAACAATAAATAGTGGCCAATAAAGGAGCTCATGCTCCACTCCAGCTTTGACCAGTCCACATTCGGGTAAACCGTGATGGAAACCTGCCGTGGTGCAATGAACACACTCGCCACTTCTTGCCCGTATTGTTCAAAAATTCAGTTGCTCAGGGGGGTTTACCCAGCCCAGCCCACGGTGCGCCACATCGCAAGTCTGACCGTTTGGGATAAAATTATCGTACGTCGGCGAAGGAATATGAAAGGTGAGACAGAGTGGGTTCGGTACAGGGGATGGGTGCAGGCGCATCATACGCCACAGCATAGAGCGACGAAGCATCACCTCCGGCCCCGACACCACTACCACAAATACAGGAACTCTCTCACCGCCCACTCCACCCAAAGCAAAGAGATGTCCCTCCACACTGTTAACACCGCCGACGTCAGTAAAGCAAAGGCGAAACAACAACAAAGGAATAGTGTAATGCTAACAACAACAACCATTGGGATTCAATAGCAATAATAAACAAGTAAAGGAGGAACCAATGACAACTCAATCACAGAGGAAACAACACCTCGGAAAGAAGAATACTTATAAATGTATATATATATATATATATACATTTCCACCCACCCTGTTTTTCTTTGCCACTTGGCATTAATTCGAGAATTAATCGTGTGCACGCTTGCGCAATTTGGTTTCCAACTCCTCCTTAGTAAAATAATTTCCAGGTGCCATCGTCAGAACCCAGTCCACCGAAGGAATAGCCGTCACGTGCATCATGTAACGTTTACTCGTGTACCGCAGCTGCGTAAAAACAACGAGCTGTGGTCTCTCCCGTAAAATGGGAGATGTTAAAGCCATGCCACCATTGTTGTTGCCCTTCTCATCCTGTTTTGCAAGTCCTGCCCGAAAGAGGTAACTCGACGGGTGCAGTTCAGCCATTGCCGTTTCCTCAGCGTTCAATGCGCCAAGATTTGCATGGTTGGAACCACTTCGACTAGTAGAGGTATCTATCGGGCGCACGATCAAGTAGGTCCTGCAGTCAACATTCAACTTTGCAACATTCATAAAGAACCCCGACAATAACGCTTTTGTAAAGGTTTCCATAGAAAGTGGGATATCCTCCTCCCCACGGGGCAAATCAAAACCTATTCGTTCACATGTTTTCAGTATTTGATCCAACACATCTCGGGCCTGGAGGAGGTTTTTCATGTTTACCGAATGGGATTGACAAAACTCCTGCATTGAAGGACCGGCCCGCATCCACTCCTCCATCAACCGCACATACCCCATGACATCACCGTTTCCTGCTGAAAAGAGCATATCCCTTGCGCTCGCCATGGAAGCCCGTTCCTTTGCGTCCCGGCTTGTCACAAAAACTGAGTCAAGGGTAAGCATCGCCACGGCAATGGACATGTGACGAAGACATCCCAAGGCGTTTGCACGAAGAATGCACTTGCTCAATGAGGGGTCCAGTGGGAATTCTGCCATGCGTCTTCCGGTAAGTGTCAACCGGCCATCTGATTTAATCCCTCCAAGCAGGTAAAGGTGATCTAACGCCCTTTCCAACGAGGCTGTGGAGGGTGCATCAATAAACTCAAACTGTAACAAGTTATCAATCCCAAGTGCCTTTAGTTGTAGAACAACCGAACTCATACAAGTTCGCAAAATTTCTGGAGCGGTTTCTTGTGGAAGCTCATTACGGAAAGTGTAAGCCGTGTACAGACGGTAACACTCCCCTTTTTGAGTTCGTCCCGCTCGACCTGTTCTCTGCATAGCACTGGCCTGCGAGATTGGCATCACACGCAACTCCTCCACCATGGCTTTATAATTATAGTAGTTTTGCTTGCAAAGACCACAGTCTACAACGTACACCACACCATCGATGGTGATTGATGTCTCAGCAATATTTGTAGCAATCACAACCTTCCGTGTGTTTGGTGGTGGAACCTCGTAAATGCGTCTCTGCTCTCGTGGCGGAAGAGATGAATAAATTGGTAGAACCATTAACGGACGCAGTTGGCCACCAGCATTGACTATACCTTCACGAATTGCTGCAGCGCAGTTTTCAATATCATCTTGCCCAGGAAGAAAGACGAGTATATCCCCTGGTAAGGGTCTGGTGGCATGTAGCAAGAGCACAGATTCAGCACTGGCCTTCACGTAGTCTGCCATCGGTTCTGTAAGATACGACACATCGACAGGGAATACCCGTCCCTTTACGGTAAATATAGGTGCTCCATCAAAAAAGTTACTAAACTTGTCAGCATTGATCGTGGCACTGGCAACAATCACCTTCAACTGCTTGTTCCTGCGGGAAATGTCCTTCAGTAAACCAAGCAAAATGTCCGTATTAAGTGAGCGCTCATGAGCCTCATCCACCATGATGGCACTGACTGTGTGAAGCTCCGGATCACTAATGAGCTCCTTCAACATCATACCATCTGTCACAAAAAGAAGTCGTGTCAAAGGCCCTGATTTATCATCAAAATCGTACCTTGTAGCCAACGATACTCCCACAGCGTGTATTCATCTCTTGTGCTACTCGCTCCGCCACGCTCATTGCCGCAATACGTCTGGGTTGAGTACAAATAAGTCGTTTTTCCTCGCCTGCATATTCTGCTTCTTCCGCGTTCCCTCCATCGCTATTCATTTCCTTTGGGTGTGAAGGGGCCTCGCAAAATTTTTCCTCATACAAGTACTGCAACAATTGCGTGGTCTTGCCAGATCCTGTCTCTCCGACAATGATCAGTACAGAGTTCTTGCAAATCAGATCAAGTATCTCTTCACGTGCGTGATAAATGGGTAGAGATCGTCGCTGCTCCTGAAGCCGACGATGTTGATCTTGTAGCGCCTCGGTACGCTTCTGTTTAATCTGTTCCTCCGTATTTTCCTCCACAAAGTCACGGTTCCTGACACGATTATCTACAGCAGATTCGTCCATTGCCACAAAATTGTGAGATTCCTCTTGATGAAGCATGGAACTGCTCTGGGGCATCAATTCCACATGACTGAGTAGGGGCGCCACCGAATCTCCGTCGTGCTTCAAGGCATGTGAGGCTAGTACACTATCTTCCTCAAGAAGTCCCTGTCTTCGCTGGGCTGTCTGCTGCAGCTGACCAGCGGCCTGTACCTCCCGGGCGCGTTTACTCAACAACTCGATCTCAGTAAGAGAGTGCGGCAGAACCCCCGCCTCAATCTCTGAGATTTTCTCCTGCAATACCGCTGAAGCGGCCTTTTCCCGCTTGAGTGCCTGCTTGCGGAGATAGGCATCTCGGGACGCCTGTTGCGCCTTTCGCAACTTTTCAGGATCCATCTACTCTCCCCGACGCTCCCCTCACACACACCTTTCTTTTTTCTTTTGTGGGGGTATCTTTTGTTATTCGCCTCACGCTTTGCCTGCTGGAGAGGGAAACTACGTGCACGGAGTGTGGCTCAAGAACGCCCCACAGCCAGTTCTTCCCCGTGCCTGTCAGCTAAGCGCGGACAAAGAGATACACACACACACACACACACACACACACTCACAAAGAGACGCACAACAGGGAAAAGGAAAAAAAGAAAAAGGAACGCATGGGGGCGACAGTACGCATCGCATATTTCTGGTAGGATTTGCCAAGAACCGTGCATGTGACCTGGCCGCGTAAAAAGGCGGAAACAGGGTAGAAGCACAATTACCAACGCGACGCCTCACATACCGGTTAGGGAATCGCAAAGAAAGAAAAAGGAGGGGAGGGCGAGGGAGTGATCACAAAGGACAACTTTACATGTATACATATGTATATAAAGATACATGTATACATAAGTCTGTAATTGTCTGAAAGAGGGAGGAGGTGGGGGAGAGAAGATAATAATAGTAATAATAATAATAAACAACCTCCAACCCCACTCATCCGCGATCACAGACGCCTGTGCCGGATCAGGTCATGTTTTAAAAGTGACAGCGACGAAACGGGACGGGTACGTGTCTCAAGAGCCGAAAAACTAATAATAATAAAAACAAATGTGAACAGATGAAATCACACCCTGACAACGACGCGGCAAACTGCAAGGGAAAACACGGTTGTAAACCACAAAGGAAAAATGGAGAGCAACAAGAGTAGTAACACGCGCGCGCACACACACTCACACAAGAAAAAAAAAAAGGCGGATCTGGTGAGGTTGTCCCTTCTTGTCTCGTACGGGTGCCACAGTTACCAAAATAAAAAGAATAAAACAGAACAGGCATCACAAGCTCCCTTGTAGTGCGCCTCCGTAACAAGAAGGAAAAAGACTGAGAGAACGCGAGCTCTCAATGCAAAAAAGAGCAACAGCAACTACCTCATCCATGTTCCCTTATGTCTCCTCCCCCTTACTTAGTTCGCATCTCTTGAAATGTAAAGTGTGAGCTTTTTTCTCTATCCCTTTATTCCTCTTGTTATATGCCAATCAGCTTACTGAGCTCGTCATCGAGATTTAGGGATGTAGTTGCTCCCGTCGGGGCCGTTGTCAGGAACGGCCCACGTTCCCCTGGGGAGGGAGGAAATTCTGTATGCATTGGCATGACTAAAAGCCACTCCCTAATGACACGCCTGTCGTCATCTTCTATCGCATTGGTAATAAATGGATGCTGCAACAACTGTTCACACGTAGGACGACGTTGGGAATCTTTTTCAATACACGCTGATATAAAGTCAGCCAGTGCTGAGTCCATTGTTGACGGCAACACAATAACCGGCCCGTCGCTACTAAGATGCTGCAGCAGCACCCAAAACCCGGCCTCCGTTGGGGCATTAGCGCGAGCCAATTTGTCCGTGAACGGGCATCGGCCCAACGCGAGCTCAGCAACAACGAGTCCAAAGGACCATATATCTGCCGCGAATGAGTAAGACTCCCCTTTCAAGCGTTCAGGACTCATGTACGTCAGCGTCCCCACGAAGCTGTGTGCGTCAGCACGGGTGCACTCCAAAAAAGAACTAACGCCAAAATCCGATATTTCGATGCGTCCATCGCGACTAAACAAAATGTTACTGGGCTTAAGATCACGATGGATGAGGTGCCTGTTCCTGTGCAAATCCCAGAGACCACGAAGAATACTGCGTGCGATGCTAGCCAATACCCCTGTCGGTACTGGTTTTCTTACACTTGCCAAGCTGCCATCCATGCACTCCATCGCGATAAAAACAGAGCCCTCGTGACAAAAAGCACCATAGAAACCCACTAGGTACGGGGAATTGTTCCCGTCACGGTGAAGTGTTTCCAACTCTCTTCTAATTTCCTGGAGATGTGCCTGGCTGGTGATTTTGATCTCCTTCAAGGCAAGAGCCTCGCCAGTCTTGCGATGTGTCGCTCGGCGCACAGACCCACTGCTGCCTTGACCCAAAAACCCTGTCGCACTCACAATGACGTCGTCCGGCGACAAACCGTACTTGTAGCCCATCGATGTCGTAAGTCCCTCTGCAGAGACCGTAATTTCGCCAAGACGAAGAACCTCGTGAATCATTTGAGTGGAGTCGTCATTATCGCTCTCCAAGTCGTCTAGGCTGATCCTCAGCCCTGACATCCTCAGACGCAGGGGGGGAAATCCTCCCCTTCCCTTTTATTCTACTCGTGTTACTTTGCTGGCACCCTGGCCTCTCGAGCCTCCGACGTTGCCAAAATAAAACTCGCCCATCCCGAACACCAAACCAAAAAAAAAAAAAGTTAGGGGTGGAGGAGAACAAACGTCATGTATTAACGCAACCCAAAACTCAAAGAATGCAATTTTGGCAGGCTGAAGCCGGTTGAAGTCTATATATACGTATATATATATATATATATATATATTACATCTTAAGACCATCCCACATCCAAAACTCCGCGTGATTTATTATTACTATTTTGTGTGTCTCTGTCTGTGCACGCGTCTCACCTTTTTCTAATGCTCGCAATATTTTACCACTGCGCAACAGTCAGAAACGCAACGGCGCACAAATCGACCTCTATGACCGGGGTCGTGGTTGGGCCTCTGTGCCAAGTCAACGGCAGC